GCGGTCTTGGTTTCGAGCGCAGAAGAGAGAAAGAGAGATACATATATACCTACTTCCATTTATCCGTTCGCTTCGTGGCCTTCGACCGATCTTTTTGAGAACGAGGTTCGCCGCTGCCAGACCGGTCGTACATATACTCGATATTTTATTTTATTTTGTGTACGTGTGCGTGGAGAAAATAATCAGCACCGACCGATGTGTCTCGACCTCGCGCGGTGGCTGCGACGTTTCAAGTAATGATCTCTCGGCGCCGATTTTTCTTCGCTTCGACTACTCAAACCGCGAACTCCGAAGCTAATTCGCTCGTCTCTTTTTTTTTTTTTTTTTTTCTAGGGCATATATCGCGCGCGAAGAAGATTAATTTACAACGTTACACAACACTTGTTGTTTATATACATGCATCTAGATTTAGAAACTACGAAATAATTTGAATAAGTACGTTTTTACATTAAGATTATCTCGGCAAAAACAAATTATGGAATGAAGCAACGAAGAGCAAAGAGTGAGTCACAGTCTCGGTTCAAGATTCCGAGACGCGATTAGAGGCATGCGAAAATCCGTATATTTTTATCCGACATAATAGAACGTGTGACGTAAGTTGCTAATTTTTTTTCCGCGCGAATACAATAATAATAATAATAATAATAATAATAAAAACAACGTCGTCGAGATGACGTAAATCCCGTTAATCTGGTTGAAGAGAAAATGCAAGGGGAAAGGAAATTGCGATACTTGGCGTAAGATTTTTGCAATAAAATTTAACCGCGCTCCAATCGGCTCTCTCGAGCTAATCAACGTCGCGGCCAGGAAATTGGCTCTTCAGACAGTCATAATGAAAAGAAAAAAAAACAAAAGGGAAGACGGGAGTAAAGTCGGAAGGAACCACGAGCGAATCGGGTACGGCTCGGATAATAAGGCGAAGGACCTGGCGTAACCCAAATTTCACCTTTTGCGCGATGCCCTCGTGAATGGGTACCCTCCTCCCCTTCCCGTCCCGTCCACCTGGTGCACGTTCCCCTCTTTCTTCTTTATCTCCTTTGAGTACGCCTTTCCCTCCTCTCTGGAGCCTCGTTCACCGACGAATCCTTTCGAGACGAAGAAACGCTCCGAGCGTTTCGCTTCAGTAACCGCGGTCTTGGTTCAGCTCCTCCCGGATTCCTTTGTTTAATGCCTTATTGCGATATTTTAACGCCGTTGCACTGTTGCCATGCGCCGCGCTCTGGTCGCTCGCGCCGAGCCGGACCGCGAGAGCCGCGCGGTCGTCGCGCGTTACCGGGGTTTCAATTAACCGAAATTAAACGAAACCGGTTTCGTTTGGGTCGTTTTGTATTTACCGCAGAAAGTTGTAAAAGCCCAAGCCGAGAGAGTGTAATCTGCCGATAAAAGTAAGGTCGGAAACAAATCCCAATAATAACGCGGCGATAACGCGCCTGATCCTCCACCCTCTTGTAATTGAAGAATTGTCTCACAGTCGCTTAAATTCTCTTTATCGAAAACATGTATTATTCGAACACATGATTTGTAATAATATATTCCGTTCTTAATTAATTACGCAAAATAAAATTACATCCTAATAATCTCGCAACTTGTTATCCGAAGTGACGGGGAATTGACGATGCAGCAACTCATCGGTTGAAGATAACAGACGCGTGATCGTCGCAGATTTAGTTTACTTTCAAAACTTTATTAAGCCGTCACTCCGATTCGAAGAGCGTTATTTTCGAAATTACGTGCATCGCGGAAGAGATATCGTCGCGAGTATACCGCGATACACACGCGATGTGACAACGATGCGTCAGAGCGTGAAAGACTCTCCGACGTGTCGCGTCGCGTGTGTATTCTGGGATGCTGCGCAATCGGCCGCGAAACGGTCTCCTTTTTTCCTTCCCCCTTCCCCTTCCCCCCCCTCCCCGTAGTGCGCGTACGAGGAATGTGTCTTGGAAATCAATCGTAAACCCGCGTGTCGGAACACAAATTACCGTCGCGCAAGGATGAGAAACCGCGACTTGCGCGCTTTCCCGAATTAACAATTATGGGAACGTGAGACGCGGATAGGGATATGCGAGCAGCCGTGCGCGTTCTCTCCTCCGAAGTTTCACCGCACTCCGAATAGGCCATTACATTGGCCTTTACGCTTTTCAGACGTTGAGCGCGAACGAGAAGATCACCGCCTTGGCGTACGTTTGCGTCGCGCGTAATTCTAATTGTTCGTTCGAGCCGAGATTACGCTCCCCCGGCTGCCAAACAAATGCGGAACGATTTAATATCGCTAAGTCGTTTGTCGCAAATATCGTCGACGACAAGCGCGGTCTTCGTCTGGAGACGACAAAAATTGTTCACTGGGAATAGAAAATTTTCTACAACAGCGCTGAGTCGACGACTCCATGTTGTAAACCTGTCTGAAGTCGTTAAGACGGTGATTGTAAATCCTGATATTCTCGGTGATCGTTTTATAGTTCTGTAAGAAAAATTCTACAAACACGTTACCGTGAATCGCCACGCTAATTGTCTTTGATTAACGAATAATGCGAGATATCCCGGGAGAACACCGCCGAATGTTCTTTTAATTGCGACGTTGTTGTCGAGCGAATCGCAGAGATACACAATGCTCTTACGGGGGAAATAAAAAAAAACAGCCATTTTATATTTCGTCATTTCTTTTCAATTCAATCATTTTCTTTGGAGAGACATTTGGTTTGATTTTGCAAACCGCTCGCTATTGCGACAAAATAAACGCGACTGTTTCCGGCTGTTTCGCCTTGACACCTGGCAAAACCGCAAAGTCTCGACACAACGAGAGACTCCCCGAGACGGCAGTTATTTACGTAATTTTTAAAATTCCTTCACGTAAAAGCGCGGAAGAAAGATTACATCGGTACGGCGGATGGCGGCAATAATCGTGCGCTTCCTAACGGAGAGACATATTTTCGCGGACGGCAGTAGTATAGTACGGTAGTTTCGTGAGAGGGGGAGAGAGATATTTCCGGACTCCTTTCGACGAGTGTGTACACGGTATTAAGTTCGTCGCTGGGAAAAATCTTCGTTCCTCGACGACAATGGCCGGCCGTCGCCGATTACGCGGACTTTTTTTTTTTTTTTTCCCAGCCGGAGGGGAAGTAAAGAAGAAACGTCAAAAGTGCCTCTTCTGGATACGTTTCAGCGACGATTTCTATGCGCGTCACGCGTGTACGAGCGCAATCGCATGTCTCGTGCCGATGTCCGTGATTGGCGAAGTACTAATTTTCGTGTACAACGTTCGCGGATACGCGGCCCATGAGTTTCTCGATATTAATTACGCGAATTACCTTGAAGATCCTTGTAATTAGATAAAGCCGAACGCGAGGTAATTGAAAAACGTCGACGGACGACGAGATAAGTGGCGCAAAAACCCGATGATTTTCCACTGATAAACAATTAATGACGATCATGAGGGAGTAAAACAGATTTGGCACAGATTTGGCTACATATATATATATATATACATACATATATATTAGATTGCTGTTAAATTTGAAGCCGTTAACTATATTTATACATCACATTAGTCTGTTTTACACGTTGTGTTAATTAAAAAAATATATAACAACACACGCTTCCCCGCGCAACATCGCAAAGATTTCAAAATATTTTCAAGAAATCTGTTTTTTTTCTTTTTTTTTTATTATTAGTGTCAATATCTTCCGACTTTCTCGTGACTTTTTTTTTTTTTTCACTATCGTTATCGGCGCGTATCAGCGCGAGTTGATTGCGAGTCGAATTGCGACTTACCGGAGATGAGAGAGTAGGAGGTTTATCGAAGACCGATCGCTCAGGACTTCCGATAATCTCGCGGAAGAAGAACCTCCTCCTTGGGAGCACTATGAATCACTGTGAATCACTGAGTCACCACAACTTGAGAGACGCGAGACGGCGACGCGACGGGCGAAAAATCAATCGGAGGGAAAACGTTCCCGGGGAAACGGGCGGGAGAGAGAGACGGAGACCGACCGTGCAGACGGATGACGAGCGAGCGAATGATCGGAGGAGAACTGCTTGCTAGGCATCGAGACTTCTCGCTCGCTTCGAGGACGAAGGTAGAAGCGAGGCGAGCACCGGTGTGCTCGCACACATTCGGCGGATCATCCCCTTGGAAAAAAAAAAAAAAAAAAACCGCCGTGCACGGCGAGACGAGACGTTCCCGAGACAACGTCTCCGGCAACGAAGGAGGCGAAGGAGGAAATTCGATTTTTTGCAGAAGAATCGAAAATTTTCGAAAAAATCAACAAGTTGTTCACAGACAGAAAACGGCTTTTGCGAAAAACTCGTCGCGTGCGCGCACCTGCGCAAAAACGTGATCTCTCGCTCGCGCACCTGCTGCCTCAGGTGTTTCTTTCCGTTTTCTCATTTTATTTTTTTTTCTCGTTATTGCAAACGGGTGAATCAACGGGAATCGATCATCAATAGAGCGCGGAAATATCGCGGGATTTTATTTCGACTTAATTCCTTTGCGGCTTTCGGAAAACGTCGGAACGCGAGATAAGAAATCGCATCGTCGTAAAAACTCTACGCAAATCTTGTGTCGCGTCCGTTCCGGAAATCGAGAAAGCAGAGCATGACAAGACCGCGAAGAGAGCGACTGGATTATGTGCGAGGAGATTCGTCTTTTCTAGTACAAATTCTTCCGACGAGAGAACACACAGACACCACGCACGCACCATCGTTTCCTCTACTTTCTCGTGTGTATCGTTCATGTTGTTTGCGATAAGACGATGGAAATATTACCCTTGTGTCGACGCGCTTATCGTTTAACTTATGTCATATTGATCGACGCGTATCGCGATAATACGCAATTCTCATTGTTTTTTACACAATTCTTAGCATCTATTTTTAGAACGTTTTTAATTCTTATTATTAGTTTCTAACGTTTTAACGTATGTAAACATACTTGTTTATAAATTACTTTTTTATTAAAAATGTCTTGCCATTTTTTTTTTCGAAAATTTGTAAATTGTTGTACTTACGCGGATTTTGCTTCACTTGTCTGTAAACGCGTAACGCCGCGGTCCTCGGGTCCACGTAGTCCCACAGTCCGTCGCAGGCGATTATGAGGAAATCTTCGGTGCCGTCCAGATGCACGCATCGGACCTCGGGCTCGCCGCTGATGAACGGTTTGTACAGGACATCGCCTGGAAAAGACAGACAGATATAGAGAGAGAGAAAGAAAATTAAAGAGAAAACGACGACATAGCGCACACGCTCCGCTGTGTGAAGAAGAGACACGCGCGCGCGCGAGCGCGCACGAGCACGGACGCTAAAAGCGTGAACGCGAAAAGCGTAAAGGAATGCTCAATTCCGAAAGTATGTGATTAAGATTGAAGTCCGAGGTAACTGTTTTACGGTTTGCCTATCGGCGCGGCCGTAATTCAGATATTTTACACGTGAAAAAACCACGCCACGCGGCGCGCAATTAACTATAATTAACTGTTTAATGAATAGCGCGGCTAATTTGAATAACGACGCGCGCGAAGTGCACCACCGCCGCCGCGCGCTTCCGGTTATTATGAATCTGAATCGCCGCCGTTTTTCTTTTCTCTCCCCGTCGTCTTTCCGAGGTCCTTAATATGTACACGAGAAGAAAATATCATCACGCATCGTGAGCCCGTGTTATCTCTCTCATCTGTCATAATCGTTATTAATCTCAAAGTTCCAACCCGCCACACAGTCTTGAGTTTTGTTTTCAAAAACTCACGAATAAAATCGGAAAGTATTTTTTTTATTAACAAAAAATCACAAATACCGCGTGATAACAAAATAACTTTGAGAATCGTCACATAGGTCTGTGAAAAATTTGCTTTTAAGTAAATTCTTCCAAAAAAAAAAGGACAGAAGATTAATAAACTTGATACGCGCTGATAAATGAATAAACATTGGAAACGCGGGCCCCGCGAATCCCCTCCCTTACGCATCTTTTTCTTTCTCTTTCTCTCTCTCTCTCTCTCCAAAGAATAAGCAAAACTAATTCCTCTACATTATTCTCGTAATTATTCCGAACATGCGATTGCGCGAGCCACTCGGTAACGCGCACCCGGAGCGTAACTGCACGTAGTATTGTGTCAGCGGGCAAACGGAACCCAACAGGATACCCGACACGCGGCTAGAATTTTTTGCTTTCCTTTTTCTGTCTCCGCGTCGCCTTAAGTCGCAGTTGGACACGAGGCACGACCGGCGCCCGTCCTTACTTGGCTTCTGCTAAGAGAGAACGCGATCCGCGTTTCGACACGAACGAATATTCGCGGCGCGACCGCGATCAAAACTCCAGATGTTCTTTATACTACCCAAGCTTTTAAATAAAAATTTCCTCTCTTTTCTTTTTTAAATTACAAAACAGAACGATAAAAAAATAACATCGGTATTTTCTTCACTTTTCTTCAGTGAAAATGTACATTTAGATTAAATTTTCTTTTTGCACGTAACTTTACGAGAGAAAGACTTTCCGATAGATATATCTCTGACAAATGCATAGAGAGTCACTTGAGATTCTGCGGCAGAGGAATTATTGGTTTGCTCGTATTCGCGAATTCCTCACGGAATTCCGAACGACATACGTGCGCGTTGCTTATACCGCACATCACGATCGACCGGCGCGTGTCGCTGTCTCCATCTGTACGTTAAATTCGTACCGTGTCTTCTTCGACGCGGTGAAGACCGGTTGGTAAAAATCGGAAAAGACACATTGATAAAAAAAAACAAATTTTTGTTCGCAAAAACTTCATCTTCTCAAAGAAAACTTATTTTTATGACATTTTACACACCTCCGAGTATTCTGCCGCAGCAACAAGAAAAATCATATATACACAATTTTTATCATTTTTATATGACACCTGTTGCAATTAATATGCACAATAAATGTTTTGCGAAACTCACCTATCGCTCTGGATATGCTCAGAAATCCGTTCACTCGCAAAACCCCCATGCAATGAACGACGGCTCCTCCCATGTTGGTGATCCGTTCGGTCTCGTCCTGAAAGAAGTTTATCATTCAGTAAATAGGACACGTCTAGTTGCGCCTGTACCTTGCCTCGATAAATCCTTGTCGCGTTGTCAATAAAAGTATTGTTCGAGCGTAATGTAACTAGGCACGGAGTCAGCACACATGCGTCAAAGAGTGTCGATATATCGAGACTTTAGGATTTGCGCGACTCGATTGTTTGCGGGAGAACGTCAGTCATATTAAAATTATTAGTTCAAAGATCGAATCTCTCTTCTCTCTTTTCTCTCCCGACCATGACTGTAATCGGAACGCAGACCGACAGCGACAAGAGATTGCTGCAATTTCAAAACTACGAGGAATACTTGGATTCCCTGGTGACTCCCTTAGACATCTGCTTTCTCAGAAGCGGCAAAACCGCGCGTCAATTGGCCGAGCTCGGTTATCGCTGCACCGGCGAGACTCTGAGCGAGAAGAGCTTCTATCGTCGCTTGCGAATCGTGAGGGATCTGGTGTTGCCCGTTCACCGACCGTACGAACTCGCGTCGGAACACGAAACGCCCGACAGCAAATTGATGCGGGAGCTCGCGCTGCGCGAGCGATCCAATCGATTGGGAATTCTGTCGACCGTCATATTCGTTCACCGTCTTACGACGCGATTGCAATTCGAGGAATCGGCCTACATCGATTTCGCCGACCGGCTCAAATCGGAGAACTGGCTGCCGTATTTTCGGGGCGAGAGAAAATTATCGCCGCTCAAGACAGATCTCGCGTACTACAATTGGAAAATCGGACGGACGTATCTGAACGAGACGCGCAATTACGTGCCGATTGTGAATCCCAAGTGCGGTTTGTTGTTCAAAAATATTCACGACCGACAGGTGATCACGGTCGATCCGGCTGTCGCGTCACCTGGCGTGCAGACTACGCGTCTGCGAGTACACTGTCCGTTTTACGAACACGTGATTCTGTACGATCACGTGATCAGAAACAAGATTCTGCAGAAAATCTGAGGAGTTTTCTCTTCAATGGATTACATCTTGCGTTTTATTGTATTTTATTGAAAAAAAAGAAAAAATTCAGTTTACTCACTTCTCGCGTGGGTCGGTGCGGATTCACCAGGTTCATCACCTCGCCTCTCGAGACCAGCGACGCCATGGAATCGCCCACCCAAGCTATGTACAGTTTTTTATTTATCACCAGCGCGCACACCGCGGTGGTTCCGCCGTTCAATTTCTGCAGCAAGAAAATAACAAAGTGAAGATTAAGTGTCGCGTCAGTAAAATTTGAATCGGCAAACTATGAACAAGTCGCGCAAAAAGAAATACAAATGACCTTACCTTGATATTCGATTTCTCGATAAATTGCGCATCGGTGGTCAGGAAAGCGTCGCGTAACGCTTGTTTCGGATCCGTGGGATAATGAACGCTCTCGACCAGATACTGATGTAAATGCGTCGCGCAGTACGCCGCTGCGTCCTGTCCGCCGTGGCCGTCGAACACGGCGTAGTAATTCGCGACAGTATCGTCCTGCAGCAATGTTATTCCGTTATCATCGGAACATCGAATAGTTAATGAACTTTCACCGGAACTAAACGGAAAGCGTATCTATTCGCGTCGCGCCTTCAAATGAAACGCGTTTGAAAACGTTACCTGAATGTTGAAAACGGTGTGCAGATCGTGTATGACCACGTGACGATCTTCCATTTTTCTCCTTAGGTTTCTGATGGCACCGACCGCGACTTGCGGGGTCAACGGTGAAGGCGGCGGAAGCAGCGCCAACCTGCTGTTATCTAAATATCGCCTGCAGATCTCGTTCACTTCGTTCGTGACGGCTTGCATGAGCTTCAAGGGCGCGTACGCTGCGAAACAAATTGATCGATCGAGAACATTTGTAACTGCGACGTATCATCATCGAATTAAATAACTCGGTCACACGAACTACCGCTTCGCGATTGACGGTACAAAATTTATTTCGATATAAATCTCTTCGAAACGTTGACATTTCTAATTTTGTTTAATATGAAAAGAATATTTAAAAAGTTAAGATAATTTGTGTAATTGCTTTTGCCGCTGTTTAAATTTTGTGCAAGTCTGCAAAACTTACTTTTTTCTTGCTGCCTCAACCCGCAGATTTCCGGTTGTTTCTTGCATGTCGTTTTGATCGCTTGTATCACGAGATGCACAATGTAGGACTGCAAACTTGGCGGACAGTATCTGAAACCAAACCGCGTTTCTCTCGCGTCAGTACATATCGTCTTTTCTTACTTCTCAGAAATGTTTGTACGGTGTCGTTTGCACATTGTTTGAATGAACTTTGCGAGCGCGTCCTCTTGTTATTTTTTTTGCAACAAGAGTAAAAAAGCAGTTTTAAACAAAATTTGCGAGATTCCAAATAATTGAAGATAAAAAAAAAACAAACAAACTTTTCCAACAAATTTTAGATTCAAACGTAAATAACAATCTTTTCGCAAAATTACCGTGTTTTTTAAATCGGTAATTTTTGTTTACATTCAAAACTCGTAAACTCGAAAAGTGAATAATGCGACAGAATGAAAGGAGACGAACAAAAAACGGAGAGAGAAAAATACCGAGAAAAATAATAATAAAACTACGAAGCGCCGGAATTCACGCGTTTGAAACGCGTTTGAGGAAAAGCCCGTCCTATTTTTGTTCGCGACGAGTTATCTCTCTCGTTTATCGCTTATCGTTCATCGTTTGTCCTTTCCGTTCCGAGTAAATGCAACGACGACGATTGTCTCCCGACGACGGTTTCGCAGATAAAGCGCGCGGAAGTTGGATTTGGATCTGCGCGACGCGATTCGACCGCTTTCGCGCGCCTTCGCAGAATTATGTTCGAAAGGACAAATTGCGCCGGGGCGAGTACCTTTTGCGCAACTTACACGTCGTCGTCGTCGTTCCATTACGCGCGCGCCCCAAGTTTTCTTCTCGCGTGATGCACCGTTCAACAATGCGTAACTTTTATGCGTGCTGACTTTTTCGCACTGCGCAACGATGTTTCTCGGCGGAGAACAATGCGGTTTTATTGCAGTTTTCGAAGAGTTCGCAACACGCTACACTTTCTTGTGTGTTGGACGTCGCACGTATGTTGTACACACACGTAGGCAGAACATATATATCGAGTTTCTCGACGAAACAAAATATTTCGCAACTTTTGCGCTTTTTCTCGGCGTTCAGAAAATAGAATCTCGTTCCGCGGTTCACGCCAATTTCGTTTCCGAACAAAATAAAATCACGACACGGATTTTACTTCTCGACTTCCCGCAAATCAAACCGCCGAGTAAACATAGATTATCAACAATCATCTGTTAACATGTTGTTGGTTTTTTTTTTTTATCTAGTTTTATTTGTCGAGTGATTTTCCGACAAGCGATATCTGTCGACAGATACAACTCGAGTTAAAAAAAAAAATAGAAAGCACTTTGCGTTTCTGTTTGCTGATTGTTTTTGCAATCTCAGTTTTAAGAAATCGTATGCGTCAAAACAAATAATTCGAATAACCGTTCCCGGTGATGCTCGCGCGCTCGATAAAACGCGATGTCACGGCAATTTCGGCGGAATGTCAAACGCGCTAACACACCCACACACACACACACACAAACATACAAACATACACATTCAAGCGCTCATCCCACTCGTGCGATGATTAATCCAAACAAACAATACTCGCTTACGTCTGATTGAGGTACTGCAGCGTCAGGCGGATGATCTCACCGACCAGCTCGGTCTCCTCGATGTCGTACGCGCTCACCTTCACCGGCAGCTGATCGTCCGGATTAACCCGGGCGACGAAGTCGGCGAAGAATCGCGAATACTCGCCGAGATAATTGCCGTCCACGCAGTCCATGGCCATTGTCGTGGTTTCCGCGGCTCTGGCGAGGAGGAAACGTGCACACGTGCAGGTGACGCGCAGCGCGTCGACGCCGCGCTATCCGCTGCTGTTGGTGCTGCTGCTACGCGTTCCGCTCCGACGACGCTTACGTGTGTGCGGCGGGCGCGAGTCGATAATACCGCTGCCGTGTCGTCGAATATCCCGACCGACGACGACGGATCCGCCGTCGTTGTTCTCCTTCGAACGTAGATGCGGCAACGCGATTGGAGATGCACGCGCGATATTTCGTTTACAGGTTACGTCATTCATTCAAGCAGCGGCCTCTTCTCGCGTGCACTCGTATATGACGACGACTTGTTGTTGATCGCACGACGCACACGAGGAACTTCTCTCTCTCACGGAGTTACGCTTCGCTCGCGGTCTCTCTCCGCGTTGCGTTGTATAGTGCGTGCGTATCTACGCGCGGTAGGTAGGTAGGAGTAGTAGTCCGACACACAACACAACAGAAAAATCGACGGAGAGGGGGAAGCGAGCGCGCACAGACGCGCGACGTTCAAAAGAACCGACTTGTTCCACTTGCGACGTCTAATGCGCGAATCCTTGTTTTCGTTGCGTGGAGCGACACACTTGGCGCGAATCGACTTGGCGCGTCTGGAAGAAAATCAAGAAACTCGTCACGGAGATCGGTAACGAATATACGCAATCGACGAGATTTCGCGCGAGGAGGAGTGCCGATAAGAGCCGACGCGCGTCCATCAAACGGTTTCAAACGGTTGAATATATTGCGCGCGTGCGCGACTAGCAACGTGCGCGCGCAAGCTTCAAATGGGCGGCAAATCGCAATGTTTTTCACGGAAAATAAAATTGCGTTTAAAAACAAAAATAATTGAAAAAAACTCGTCTGAAAATGCTTCTGGCACACGATGAGACGAATTTTTATAACCTGACGTATTTCGACTTCGAGCTAAGATTTTTGCTTGGGATTTTTTTCTTGGTAAGGTAAGGTAACCTTGATAAGGTAACTGTCCCATTGACTGGACATTTATTTAAGAACTTAATAAAAACAAATTCTTAGAAATGTAAATATCGAACGCAACAATGTTTTGATTGTTTTCTTAAGATGGTTTTAAACATTGATTTCTAACTTTATACAAACAATTTGTTGTAATTATTTCTTTTTGATACGCGATACGTGTCTGATCATTGGGACAAGCTACCTCGTGAACGAAAGTTATTCGATAAATATCACAGCGTGTTGCAAAAACTTAACGTTAACAGATACACATATTGTACGGGATATAATAAATATAAACATGTATTTACACGTTATGTACCTAATCGCTCCAATCTTATCTACGGTTGTTATAATATAGTACATTTCGAATCAAGAGCGGAAACCACACCGTCTTCCATTTTGCCCTTCATTTGCTGACTTCGTATGTGGAGATACGAATTCTCGAAATCCTTTTGCATCCACTCGGGCAGCGGACTGTTCCAGTTGTCCGGAGGTTTTTCTCTCTTTTCCCAGACGTTGTTCGCGTAGTGGGCGCGTAGTCGCTGCAACCTACGCTTCTTCTCGCTCTCGATCAGCTGGTCCTGCGTGTGAATTTTCATGCGTTTTATCATCTCGACGCGTCGTTTAGTCAATTCAATGTATATACTCACGTATGCCTCGTCCGATTTGTACTTTTGCCACTGATAACAATTGCGATAATCCGTGTTCCACTGGTTGCAATCCAACGTTTCGCCGAAGATGAAGTACTGATTGAAACGAGCCCTCAAGCTGGTGCAATCGTCGTACTCGTCCTTGTACACCAGACACGGTCTTATCTAAGGAAACAATTGAACAAAAGTTGCAACACACACGGTATATATGCGATAACGTTACGTACACAGAAAAACGTTAAATAAACAAAATACCATCCAGTCGTCCGGGTGTCGCGTTTGCTCCGTTTTTTTCTCTTCTTTCTCCTCGCTCATGTTTGTGAAAATTTCAGTCTTCGGTTGTGTTCGCGTATGTAATTAAAAATCCTCGTTAAAACAACGCTATTCTTGTCGCGCACACGTGACGAGCGAGAAAGTCGCGTGAAACACGCATCGGGAGACAGGTTAGGTTAGGTTATAATCGCAGATTACAATGCATCATCGCATGTTATACAATCGTTTCCCTCGACGGCTTGCTCGGAGAAACGTTTTTTCAACAAAAACTTGTTCAAGTCTCTTTGTTGACAAAACTTGTTATTGTCTCTTGTTTTTCAACGTAGTAGCCGCTACGTGCGCGCGACGATTGTTTCATCGACGTTCGTGTTCGCCGCGTTGTATCGTTGTTTTCCGCGAAAATTTTTCAAATGTCGCAAATCACGGGGGAGAGGAGAGAGGAAATTGGAGCGTTGCCAACTTGACTGGCGGAAAAAAAATAGGGTGGCACAACACCTAACCTCAACTTAGCCGCGTTCACGGCCCCCCTAACCTAATCCCAATCTAACCTCCTCTTTCTTTCTCTCTCTCTCTTTCTCTCTTCGTCACTTGCCCCTTCACGGATGTCCCGGTGTTTTTGGTGCGGTGATTGGTGCGATAATCAATTAACGGCGATTTAATCGCGCGAGAACAATAATATGATGTCGCGTTCAGTGCGTGCAGAGACTCGTAGTCGTGCCAAGGATGACATTAAACGGGTGATGCAAGTGGTTGACAAGGTTCGCCATTGGTAAGTGCTCGCCGGAGAGATTTCTCTCGTCGCGCGGCGTTTGACAGAACTCGTGCTGAGAATTGTATAAATGAGAATTTTGTGCCGGTTCTCTCGGAAAACAATCGGATCGGACGAGGAAGTGTGCGGGCTGATCGTTTTTCTGTCTCTGTTTGTCACGAGAAGAACGCCCATTGAATCTTAAATGAGAGATGTTGTAGAACAAGTCGATTAAACTTTTTGTTCAAAAGTTGTTCTCGATTGTTTAAACCGCAAAATTGTAAGAAACGTTGCAATAAACATTTCAGTGAGAACTTGTCCGATCTCTCAATTCCGGTTTTGAAAAACAGAATTTCTAATGCGCATACTGTTGTACCGCAGGGAGAAAAAATGGGTTACTATAGGAGAAACGACAATGAAAATATACAAGTGGGTTCCAATCTCAACGCTGGACCAGGTATATTATTGTATTAGAAAATAGTTTCTGTGCTCTCTCTCTCTCTAAGATTAAAGAAAGAGTTAAAAAAACAAATCTGTTGTCTATCACTTTGTAGAAGAAGAAGGGAAAGACGGTGTTAAATGACAAAGAAAATGGTTTGCCGAGAAAATCAGCGATAGATTCTTCAAATTCAAATTTCGGACTGACAGAAGACTCCAACACATGTGAGTTTGACACGATATTGATTGATGAAATCGTTCGTTGTATATTTTTTTTTGTTTTTTTTTTTTTGTATTTTGTCAATATCGAAGAAAAAAAGAATTGTTTCTGATATTTCAGGTTTCTCCACCGTCAGTGATTCCCAGGGACTGACAGATTTCTCGGCACACTTGGGTTTTTCGGAGGACTCAAATTCGCAAAACAGCGAGCCCGCACCTAAGAGATTAAAGACTGACTAATGTTTTCGACTCCGAACAACTGGCACTGACAAAAAAAAACACCACCATCCGTATGAGGATATCTAGGAATCGCTACGTCTCTTGTGAATTCGCACTTAATTCTTCATTAATTTTTTCGAATCGCCATACCTCTCTGTGGATGAGCCGGGGCGAAGTACACACACACTCTTGTTTCCTTTTTCTGTCTCATCCAAATTTATAGTGAGATCTAGATATAATATATATATATATATCTATATATATATATAATATAATTACATACACACAACTGCGAATATAGTATCAATTCTACGGAACGTTTTCGATTACGTGTAATGGAGTTTATTTTTTTACACATATGGATTTATTACAAATTCTCCCACGCTGAATTTAGAGAAGCTAGCGAATCATCGATCCGCTGATTGGATGTAGAACAAAACAAAAACAACACGACTCGATCTGTCTGTTGAATCCCCCAATTTTTATATATTGTAATTGTTCGAAAATTCAGGATTAAAAGTTTGTGAAACACCAAAAAAAAAAAAGAAAAAGACTTGAAACAGAGCGGATTACATATTCATGCGGCGACATTGCAGTATTACTTTTGCTTAGAAAATTTTTTCTTTTTTTTTTTTTGTTTTGTTTTGGTTTCGCCAAGTTTTTTCTTGCGAAATACTCGAATACGCGATTGTTTGCGATTAGTTTTGCTGCGTAAACCACTGGGAGGAAAAAAGTTCATTCGCATTGTATTTTATCTCTGAACATATGATCACGTTGTTTCGGTTACAAATCGTTGTAAATATCTCTAGTATCATTTTTTTTTTTTTTTTCGTTTATTGACTTTGTGTATCGATAATATATATATATATATATATTTAAGCAAACTGGCATTCCTTTGCGTTACGTTTATAGCACCGTGACATGTACAAAATAAGCTTGGACTCGTGCGAATAAAAAACAAATTGAATGACCTACTTAATGACTATTACACACATCGTTTTATAGGGGAAAAAAACAAATGCGGTTTCGTTTGGTTTTTTATATGTAAAAGAGAAAGAAAAAAAGAAAAGTTTTTTGTAAAACTTTTTGCGTGTAGATACTTGGGAGTATCATATTTGGAACAAATTTGTGAATAATCGATGGGAAAGTATTTGATTTTATATAAAAATATTTTCAGAAAGTATTTCTATGTAATTCTTTTTTTTTTACAAATTGTATATTGACGTATATATATTTATATACAGAACTGTACACTATGTGTTTTTCTTATTTTATACAAAAAAAAAAAAAAAAACAAACAAAAACAAATGGATGACATGTATATGTAATGTGTATTTGAAATGTTAATTTAGACTATTAAAATCTCATTACTTAGGAAAACATTATGTACACGAACGTATTCTTTTTTTCTGAGTAAATTTGTGTTTTGACCATCACCAGGGCAGTGTTTTGCCGTCGTACTGTACGAAACAGCCGGTGTGCTTCTCCGTGAGCGAGTTCATGGTGTTCAGAATCTGACTGACGCTGCTGTCGACGTCCATCGGTGCGTTACTACCGCCCAAATCGGTTCGCACCCATCCGGGGTGCAGGCACACCGCCAGAATCCCGTCCGGTTTCAGATCGACGCTCATCGACTTGGTCGCCGCGTTGAGCGCCGTCTGTTTCGTCAAAGAAGAAGATTAGATAAAAAGCGTCAGACAATTATTACAGACAATACACGTGCCGATTGCGTAATTTCAATGTAACGAATTTCGATAAACGCAATACCGAAGATAAGGACGTCATATTTCAGTTTTTTCACCAGATTTGTTTGAATGCGATTTGTTTGGCTCAGTCAAATGAGAAGCACGCGCGCTAATGATATCGCTATAGTTTGTACCTTGCTGCATCTGTAAGGATAAAACCCGCCGTCGTTGTTCTGAGCTATACTGGCCAGGATAGAGGTCATATTGACGACGGCCGCTCTCCTCACGCTCAGTCCCGTTTTGTCCGCGGCGTTTTTTGCGGCTGCTTTCAGCAGCGGCAGGAAAGCCTTGAATCAATTTATCAAGATCCTTAATGCAATCTTCACACATTATTCTTGTTTCGCATTATGACGACGAAATCAACGTAATGACACACGCACGCACACGCACCTTCGTGAGCAGAATAGGCGCCACAGTGTTTATCAGAAGAGCGTCCGTGATCTGTTCCTGCTTCACGAGGCCGAGACGCGTGAATTTGCTGGAGATACCGGCGTTGTTGAAAAGAACATTGAGACCCGTGCCCTTTACCCTTTCAGCGACCGCGTTCACGACCTTCGTATAGTTAGCCGTGTCCGTCAAATCTGGAAGAGAAGAAAGTGTGTAAAGACGTTGTTTTATGTTCGAGCGATCGATGCCAAGGTTTTTTGTGCTCGCAAGTTTAAAATATAATTCATTCGCGTAGGTATTCGTCAACGATTTGTTTGCAACTTTACTCGGGAGCCTCTCGTAGACCCGAGGAAAGTCACCATGGGGGTTTTTCAGCCGGGAACAATCCGGCACCACCCTTCTTCCAATTCCGAGAGCGTCCATGTGAGGATTTCCCTCATGTAGAAAAGAAAATTGCGCATTAGCAAGCGCGACAGAGCGATAAGTGCGATTTCAAGCATGCTAATCAATGCAAAACGCAGTCACCTAAGTTTAAAGGTGTCTTCCGTCAAACATTCGTTTCGAAGAAATAAATAACACTAACAGTACCTAACAGTACGTGTCGTAGACGTTTAATTTTTCGCGAATAACTCGACCGAATAATTATCGTAAATTTTAACAAGCCGCGATAAAAGACTGGGTTTTATCGCGAAGAATAGATTGATGTCTCTGGCATTTCTCGAGCGTAGAATTCTCTAAGCGCAAGTGTTTATCAGATAACACGTGTTGTATCGATCAGCATAACAAACCCTGAGACAAAAGAGAGAGAGCGCGGTTTTCTTTTTCTATTGCGTTAAAAAAGATACATCCTCCCACCTCACGTATATGTAAAATGGTTTTTTTTTTATGCGTGACGTTTGACCGTTTCATTTTCCGGATTACGGTTTTCTTCTTCTAAACCCAGGCGCGATTAGTACGTACGCGTCCGCAGATATGAAAGCACGCAAGGCGAGAGCTTGGTGTTTGATTTGCCGCGAGAAACCGCAAACCGTGGATTCCGACTCGAGTGACCATGAGACCTCCGAGCGTAACGCGCGAAGCAACGCGGCAAATAAAGAAGTAGAGAATAAAACGGAGAACAAATCGGCGGAGGTGGTAACTAGACCGGAGAACAACGAGCGGAATAAAGTGGACAATCATCGAGAACCTAACGACGTTCCCTCCACATCGAGTAAGTCTCTTTTATGTGTGTGTGTGTGTGTGCGTGTACCGTATAAAACCACGCTTTTGTTTAGAACTTGTCGCGCTTTGCAAGGTGACTGGTTCCAGTGACCGGACGTTCGATGAAGAGAAATGATTATTTAAATACTAAGAATCATAACAATTCTCAGTTTTTCAATTTGTTTTTTTTTTTACATGTTTTTCAGATGTCATTAGATTCCAACTTTAAAAATAAAACTTTGTTGCGATTATTTCTTTAATAAATGTCCGATCAGTTGCACGGTCTCTCATCTCCTAACGCAATTATTTTATACAAAAAAAAAAAGAAGATAAAACAACGGATGTGTGCGAAGTAAAATATGTAAAATTTGTTCTGGATTTTGTCCGAGAGAGATGACGCATCAAATTCTCGACGCTTCTGGATTTTTGCATTGTTCTATCAGAAGAATCTCGTAATTCTTCGTTTAATCAGTAGAGATAATCTGTTACACAATCACGCTCACATCTTCGATAAAGCTTGACTTTTAATTTCGCGACGGGTCTGGAAAGAGAATGTTTTTATTATCGTATAAAAATTGATCGCGCAATACAAAAGAAACAGATGCAAGAGCGTAAAATTAAAACTCACCTATCTCGATGATGTGCACATTCGGCGATTTGTCGGCGAGCGCGCGCAATTCCTGCAAAGGAATTTTTCCCTATTATATTATTTTTTTCTTATTGAAAAAAAAAAAAAAATAAATAAAGAAAAAAACGTGATTCTCGACGCGGTGCCGAGACGGCGATGCGGCGAGAATTAGGACGAAAAACCGGTCCCGGAGCTTACGCAACAACCGGATGGATAATCGGTATCGAATGCAATCGGCTATCGCTGACTCACGTGAAAAATTAAGGAGAGGGATCGGACGAGGAGAAGGAGGTGTACGATGAGCGTATAATAGATGGCGGTGACGCCGTGACGGGAGCTTATGGTAAAAACGAGAAATAGGTTCGCCTCCAGGCGAAGTTGCTGTTGCGGTTCGGTTGTTTCTGAGCTCAGTTTGATCTCGTCGTCGCTCGGTGCGAGTTCGGTGTGGAAGTAACGTGCGAGCTTTGACATTGTCCTATCACTTATCGACATAGATTGCAAGATTCGTTGTTTTAAATCGCCAAGAGGAAATAAGAGATTCGCCATGGCGCCGATTTGTAAGTATCTCGAAATTGCGTAACGCGCGTTAATAACCTAAGAATTACAAAAATCGATCGGCGATCGCTCGGATCTTACCGATCACCTTACCGTCGCTTTGCTCGTGTCTCGGCAAGTCGCGAAGATAAACTCCGGCGGTTTCGCTAGTTCGATCAGGTGTTTCACCAGGCCCAGACCAAGGCCGCGATTGCAGCCAGTTATTAGAATCGATTTCATCGTTACCGTCGTCGTTCTCCTCGGACACGTTGGAACTACCACCACCGCTGCCACCACGATGAGGAAGAGGCGCGCGGCGTGTCATTCCCGTCGGCGCGGCTCGTGTCGATGTATCGTCGTCGGTGACGTCACGCCGCGCTCCGGCAATCGTGAGTTGCATGTCGCCGATTATCATGGCGACATTGGCGGTGTTCACGCGGCTCGTGTCATTTCGCGGCGCGCAAGCCAAAGTGTTCAGGTTACCGTATCAGCGTTTGTTGCTCGCCAGATGCGACGGTCCCGATTATCGCAGAAACGCCATGAACTGCATGTGCAATCTCTCGAGTGAGTGTTTTTTTTATCGACGAGCACGCCGATCGACGCAAAATTGTTTTCGATAGTTGCGTAAAATCGCGTCATCGAATTTCGCGCGCGCGAATTTCGAACGTTTCCGCGTGGCGTTTAAAAAACCGACGTTTGTCCGAGAACCATAACGAAAATTCGTTTTTTTTATATCTTTTAGATAAATGTGCTACGTTTACGGGAGAGATGAATTTTTTATTTTTGACAGTGAGATGCACACTGTGCACGTAGTGATCGTTCATTTATCGACTTTGTTGAAATTTTTCTTTTTTTTTTTTTCAGCGGAACCAAACTACACGTACGACCTGTTGGTGATTGGCGGAGGATCCGGAGGTCTAGCAGCAGCTAAAGAAGCAGTGGGATTAGGAGCAAAAGTAGCGGTTCTGGATTATGTGACTCCTTCACCTCTGGGTACCACTTGGGGTTTAGGTGGCACCTGTGTCAATGTGGGATGCATACCAAAAAAATTGATGCATCAGGCGGCGTTGCTCGGTGAAGCTATTCATGTACGCAACAGTTTCAAATTATCGTGACTGATACAAAAACAGTTTGATGGTGTTTTTTGATAACTGTGAGTTGTGTATCTTGTTTACAGGAAGCGTCAACGTTTGGTTGGCAGTTACCCGACCCCAAGACCATAAAAATTGATTGGGAAGCCTTGAGAACTGCTGTGCAAAATCACATCAAGTCCGTTAACTGGGTCACTCGAGTGGAACTCAGAACAAAGTTGGTACTTTAGTAGCTGCGTCTAAATTTCTAAGTCTGTAATTTTGTCAAATTCTTTTTATTTACATAAAAAATTTTACACAGAAATGTCGAGTACTTCAATGCTCAGGGACACTTCAAGGATCCGCACACGGTAGTTGGAGTTACCAAGAAAGGAGAGGAAAAAATTTTGACAGCTAAGAATATATTGATCGCAGTGGGCGGTAGACCCAGATATCCAGACATTCCGGGTGCTTTGGAGTACGGCATAAGTAGCGATGATATCTTCAGTTTGGAACGCGCTCCGGGAAAGACTCTTGTTGTCGGTGCCGGATGTATCCTTTCTGAAAATTGTTTTTTTTTTCTAAATATTCACTTATATAAGTGTCTCGCGCCTTTCTGTAGTTTTTTATGAGGACACTTGAGTGTCTAGACAAGATATGTTTTCTTTAATAACAATATAGACATCGGTCTGGAGTGCGCCGGCTTTCTGAATGGCTTGGGTTACGACGCCACAATTATGGTTCGATCGATCGTGTTGCGCGGATTTGATCGGCAAATGGCAGAACTCGTCGCCAAGGAGATGGAGCAACGTGGCGTGCACTTCATCTATCAGGCGAAGCCCAAGAAGGTTGCGAAGCAAGACGACGGCCGTCTTCTCGTTGATTGGGTCGACAAGGTATGTTCAAATTTATCAAACTTGAGACAAACATACGTTTCTTTATATTACAGTACTGTGTGACACACGATCTGTGCTTTTTTGTTTTCAGGATGGCCAAGTTCATCAAGACGTGTACGACACCATTCTGTTCGCCATCGGTCGACGGGCGCTCACGCAGGAGTTGAAACCGGAAAACGCCGGTTTGAAACTCGTCCCGGAAACCGGCAAGATTGATGCGGTCAATGAACAGTCAAACGTTCCAAACATTTACGCGGTCGGCGATGTGCTTCACAAAAAACCGGAACTAACGCCTGTTGCTATACACGCGGGTAAACTACTAGCGAGAAGACTGTTCGGCGACTCGACCGTGAAGATGGATTACGTGAACGTCGCGACAACGGTGTTCAGTCCCTTGGAGTACGGATGCGTCGGACTGAGCGAGGAAGCGGCGATCGAGCAATACGGTGAGGACGAGATCGAGATTTATCACGCTTATTACAAACCGACGGAATTCTTCGTACCCCAGAAGAACGTCGATCAGTGTTACGTGAAAGTCGTCGGGCTCCGAAACGGCGACGAGAAGGTGCTCGGAATGCACTTCGTCGGGCCCAATGCGGGCGAAGTGATCCAAGGATTCGCGGCTGCTATCAAGTGAGTCACTCGATCCCGCAACGATTTTCTTCACTGACACAACTAGACCTTGTCTTGAATATTTATATTTCATTGTTTTTTTTGTTTTTTTTTCAGATGCAACTTGACGGTACCGCAACTGAAGAGCACCGTCGGAATTCATCCGACGGTGGCGGAGGAGTTCACGCGCATAAACATCACCAAACGCTCGGGTCTGGACCCGAAGCCGCAGAGCTGCTGCAGTTAGATCGCGTCCTTGCCTGTGGTCTTTCGCTCAGTTGCATTTTTCGCACCGCGGTTATTATTAAAACCGATTATTTATTAGGATATTAATGCGGCCTGTGTACTCTTGTATATCAAGAAAAGAAAACAACAACTTTTCACACACCGGAGAGCACCGGAATACCGCAGTATTTTTTGCGTAAAATAAAATTACATTAGGATTTAGGATCTCTAAGATCACTTTGAGATAATCTTTAGAAAAAAGAGAGTAAGAGGAAAACAAAAAAGATAATACTTTACTATATACACAACGTTGCGCTGACACAGTGATTTTTTATACGTATGTTATTTTTCCAAGAACATTGCTCGCTTTATACATATGCATCGTCTGCTCCAAAAAAATAAAAAAATAAAAATAAATCGTGAGCAGATACAAATAAACCAATAAAATGTTGTACGATTGGCAAGAAAAGAAAACGGACTTCATTTTTTTTTTAATCCCGATCGCATTTGTCATAAAATGGCTTCGCCGGCGATGTCTGGCGAACCTCGAACAGACGTCGAGAGCGACGCCGAAGACGAAGATGCGACGAAGACGCAGCGGATGCTCGCGGATCCCGATCTCTGTCCGTTCGTGAGTAAACCGCGAGATTGTAACACAGCATTGGCTTAGCTTTGCTAAGCGATCGCGTGTTTCTTCAGAAGCTACAGTGGTCCTTCGGAATAAATCCGAGCGTGCCGGTGATAAACTTGACCACGACGAAGCGCACGATTATAGCGTACGCTTGCTCGCACGTGGCGTTCATGTACAACTACGCGTCCCGGAAGACGTTGCCGCTTGCGGGCCACGTTGGTATCAAAAATTTCGATCTTACGTCAACGACTTTCGCCGTTTTTGCGAGAGAAAGTGTCTGAATCTCGTCTTCTCGTCCACCTCAGCGAAACGCCGTGGAGACGCTGTCGACTACGCGCGACGGCATGTGGCTGATGACGGCGGATTTCGGGACGGAGGACTCCGCGGTGATGGTCTGGGACACGGAAAAAGGGTAGATGTTATTCTCTTCAGAGATTTAGTCTTAAAATATTTAACGCGGTTGTTCCCACAGAATCCCCGTTCGCACGTTATTCAATCCGCACGGAAACCAGGGATTGACGGCTGCCCGTATCAGTCCGGACGCCAAACACGTAGTTACCGTCGGCAACGAAAAATGTCAGAACGTGCATTTCTGGCTGCTGCGGACTCGCGAAAAGAACGAGCCAGATGGTTTGATCTCGCCGCATGAGTTCTTTCATTTCATTACCGCGTTATTTCGATCACGCCTCCTTGCATATTGTGCAACAATTTGCGCGCAATTTTCAGCATCGGTTTCGTTAATCGACACCTCGTCCGAGCGTGTCAAGGAAATAGCTTTCGACGACGAGCGCACGGAGCAATTTGCGTTGACGACCGATCGCAACGTCGTGTTTTTAACACGGGTCGGTGTTGTAACTTCTTGAATCTTTTTTTTTTTTTTCGTCTCGCTGTTTCTTCATTTCCAAAATTCGAGTTTTGGAGAAGACGCATCGACTGTGTGCAATTTTTTTTTATTGAAATACAACAATATTATATATTGTTGTATTTCTTTCGAATTTCACGTAAAATCTCAGAACGGTCCAACTTTGAACTGCGATTGTCCCGAAGTCAGGAGGAAATTTAGGCAAAACTTAGGGATCTTCAATGGATCTTGCTACGTGTCGAAGACGCAACAAGTGGCGACAGGAACGACGAACGGTATCAATCTCGGTTTTATTGACAATTCATCAAATAGTTTGACAGAGATACTTGTTTCTAACACAAACAATCGCAATTTATATCCCAGGATACGTTCTGATATGGGAAACCGTTTCTCCAGGGAAGACCACGGTCGACGATCCGAACTGTCAAAGGAGAAAACACATACAGACCATTAGTTTACAGAAAAGCAGTATCAACGTTATCGTCGATAACGGAGGGTTTGATTTAACAATAATAACAATCTTGTGTATTTCTTTTCTCAAGTCAAAAAAAAAATATATATATATATAATTTAATCGCGTTAATTTCGCAGCAAACTCGTAACGGGAAGCTCGAACGGTCAAGTTACTTTCTACAATTATCAGTTCAAACTTTTGTACTGGTGCGAAAATCGCAATCTCGACTCCGTTCGATGGATAAGTCACAATCTCCGATCCGATTTAAAGGCTCCGATTTTTAAGGCCGACGAACCCGAGCGTAAAATTCTTGCTTCTCAAACAAGTTTTGTTTTTTTTTTTTTGTCAAGTTATAAATTCTCAATTTTCAAGAGAAGACGTCGATATGAGCGCGGAAAAAAATTTAATTCCATTATGCAAAATAAATCGCGACGAGCTGATGTCATTTTGTTTTTTTTCTTTCGACTCAGACCATCAACTTCGCGAAACACGAGCGTCGACGGTCTCGGACAAACTCGACGCGACAAATGTCACGCGCTGGCCTTCGTTTAATTTTCAACATTTTCTCGCATGTAAGAGTTCTTACACGCAAATTAATTAACTTTTGTAATAATTATTATACAATTTGTTAAATTTTCATACGTGATACCACGAGTGTCAAATCGACTGCGATTTCTTCCGATTTTGCTTGTAGGTTCCTCCACGGGTGTGACAGCTCTGATACAAATGCCGGAGAAGAGGTTTCACCTAGTGTTTCCTCATCCGGTCGCAATCGTGACCAGCGTAGACGCTTATCCGGAAAGGTAGAAAATCGAAAAAAAAAATTTTTCATATCTCGTTAACAGAGAAATTACTCGTGCAATAATATTTTAATAATATAATATACCTGATAACAATAACAATAATAATAATAATATTCTTGTCGCTATTATTACTATAAGTTTTTGAAAACGACAGCAATTATTTGATTGTGGGAGACGCGCGAGGTATCGTGCGCTTCTACAATTGGGAGACGCGCACTCTGATAACGTCCAAGAGCACGCCGCCTCTTCCGGACTTCCTGCCGATTCTCGAGAAACAGACGAGCGACGAGAACATCGTCTACGTCACTTGTCCGCGGCATCGCGAGTCCTCGAGGGCCGTCACGGCGCTGAAATTCTCGCCGAAATGTATACCTACACTTTGGTTGATGAGTCTCGTGTATTTTCTGGAAGAAAAAGAAACAAACCGGCGGCGAAATAAAGAGCCTGAATTTATCTCAGGCGATCTGGTGGTGTGCGGTCTGGAAAACGGAGCGATGTGGATTCTGCATCACATCACGTTGGATCCGTTGGACGAGATTCCGTACAAACACTCGTCCGCGGCCATCAGCAAAATCGCCTTCGGACGTTGTTCCGAGTGGATGGCTTACGCGGTAAAACGAAAATACGATTTCGTAGATTTTGCGAACATGTTCGCGCGCACACGTGACGTCGAATTCGAGATCCACCATCACGCTGGAAGGGTTTCATTTTCCAGGACGACGAGCTGACAGTGGCGGTGTTTCGGAGAAACGACGACCCTTCGAGAACGAACGTGTGGAACTTAATCGGAAAGTATCGCTCGCATCGTCTACCCGTTAGAGACGTAATCTTCGGCCCGGCTCCGCCCGACTCCGACGTGCCGCAGCTCTTCTCGTTGGGGGAAGATCGAGAGCTCATCGAATACGATCTTCGGCACAGGTCGCTCGAGTGTATTCCGCGTTGCTTGTGAGAATCGAAGATACGCGTTATATATATTATAATTCGCGATTAAACACAGCGGACCGTATCCGGTGCCGGGACTTCAGATCCTGCGTATCCGTCGAATCGAGCAGAGCGCCGTTCCTCTGTGTCTGGCGTGGTATCGTCTCTCGGACACCGAGAGATTTCTCGTGATTGCAAATTCCGAGGTGGGCGCTTCATCCCTCGCTTCCGCCTGTGTGAAAAAAAAAAAGTAATAACAAATAATTTTTATTTATTTGCAATTACAGTACAAATACAAGATCTTCTGCGACAGTCCCACCAAAGCGATACGCGGCACTTACTTGGGACCGACTTACGGAGAACCGGTGCAACAATTTCAAGTAACTCTCAAGTATCTTAGGCTCACAATTTTAAATTCCTTTGAATTATACAAAAAAAAACAAACTTAAATATATAAAAAATTATACTTGCTACGTTTATTTAAATTTACATAAAGTTAAATATTATTTAAATATTTTAAATAAATCTATACTTCTCGCATATAATTTTTTAAAAATAAATTCCTTTTCTTTTTTTTACAATGACATTGAAAAAATATCTCCCGTTTTAATATTTTCTCACAAAGAGACGCGCGATTGGCGCGGAAACATTTTTCGTTACTTTCGTAATTAATAAATAGCGGGGGAAGGGAAGGGGAGATTAAGTAATTCGGGCTGAAATCTCAACAGATCCTGACGAATCGTCCTGAGAACGGGAGGAGTTACATGGTGTTCGCGACCGAGCGAGAGATCGGTCTTCAGTTACTGCCTCTCGACGGCAATCCTTACAAGATCGTCGGTGTAACGGGCCATTCGCAAAAAGTTAGCGCGCGCATTTCGCGTACCGCATCACAAACGCGCGTGTGTGTATATAAATCCGGTTTTCTGCTTGCAGATTACAGGCATTTCCATCAGTCGCCAGATGTTATTTACCACAGGCCGCGACGATCCCTGTGTGTTAATGTGGAAAATCAATTTCAGGTTGGTTAGGTTGAGAGAGAGATTGTTTGAGAAATAAAAAATTCTTCACGCTTTTTCGCCTTACGCAAAGACCGATCTCGTGCGCAAGGCGAGTACGTAGCGCACGTACGAGAAGAGAGTTCGTTAAACTTCGCGATGAGATGTGTCACGCGCGTGCACAATACCTCGCTTCTTACATCATCGTTCAAACATAGCCGCAGTGACGGAGTCTCTTAATCACGGACGGTTAAATGACAAACAACAATTTCTCCCCGTTCTCAGATCCGTTGACGCGATGGCGCAATTCGGCGGGGAGAGACTCGCGCCGTTTTACCGTCTCATCGAGGGCGGGAGAAAAGGAACACGTCTGATGAGCGAGATGAAGGACATGTTCGATTACGCGAAGATACTGGATCAGGGCGAGTGCTCGATTTTTCCCAGAGTCGTGTCCGACACCGTGGTCGTCGAGCAGATTCCGAATCTGATGCGAGCCGTCGGATACTTCCCGACCAACGAGGAAGTAATTTCTCTCTCTCTCTTTTTCTCTCTCTCTCTCTCGGCACTTTCTTCATCGCGTCTTTTCTTTCTTCTTTGCGTCGTCAAATTCCGACTCTCTTCAGACTCACAAAAAGACGCTCTTTCCGTTTCTTATCTTCTTTCCGTTTCTTTCGTTATCGGAGGATCCGCTAAAACAAACGTAAAAATTTATTTCAAAGATAGAAAACATGCTGACGGAAGTGTGCTACAAACGCTACGTCAAAACCGGCGAGCTCGTCGAAGAGATAACTTTCGAGGACTTCGTGCGACTTTACGCGAATCACAGACCTGCGTTCGGGATCGGCGCGCGTCGGATAAGAGAAGCTTTCCGCACCTTCGTCGAGGAGGACGCCTTCGACGCGGAGGTTCCCACGTTGACGCGAGAGCGTTTCGTGCGAGTTTTACTCGGCGATGTGATATCGGGGATTCCGTTAGAAAACAGTGAGCTCGTCCGACGAATCTTCCTTCGTCTCTTCCGCGAAACAATTGGTTTTCATTCACTTTCTCGACGCGCATTCCAGGCGATCCGTTGACTCCGAGAGAAGCGCGCGAGTATCTCGAGCTGCTCCTGCCCGGCGAACAACCGCGGATATCCAACTTCCTGTTCCTCCCGTCGGTAATGTAACTTCTCGCACGCAGACACAACACTGTTGCGAGCAAAACTTGTCAAAAATTGCAATTTTTTTTTGTAAGGATAGAAATAAGAAGATAAGAAGTCGTCGTTAGGCTTCCCGAGAGAGTAATGTATTGTTACTTTATGATACAGACAATATCTTACAGAGATTTCACCGCTGTTATCACGGGTGTGTCGGAGGAAACTAGGGACTGACTGAAGAGGATAATCGGCACGCGATAGATCCGTCACTCCTGCGGGACGCTGTGGGGGGGAGGGGGGGAGGAATTTTCCTCGGCTGTCAGCAACGCGAATCCGAAAAAGATCTCGTTTTTTTTTTTTTGTGAAAAATTTGAATCGAAGATGCGCTGAAGGGAAGGAAAACACTGGCAGAGTCCGACGCTTTCGCTCGTCTCTTTGCTTCGTAAAAAAAGAGACGTCGCACAACATTCGCGCGGAAAACATTCGGGAGATGGTGTAAAAAAAAAAAAAAAAGAAAAATACGCGACGGACGTCCCCGTAATACTGTTTAGTCAATTTTTTTTTTATACACACATACTTTGTAAACATTTCTTCGTCGTATAATTTTTCAAATAATAATTACAATACTTACGACTGTGCCGCGTGTCTCGTTTTATCTTTTAATCAATTTGCTACAATCCATGATTTTATATAATGGACTTTTAATCACCGGTTTAAACAAAGATCGAAAAATTAACAAAATTTGATTGGCTGATTATTCCCGATGATGAGGCGACCCGGAGAACCGGTCGACGGGAAAGGGGGGCTGTGAGAGAACCCCGTTCGATCTCTCGGGTAGGGAAGGAAAGGGAGGAGACGCAACAATCCAACTAATATAGACTAGAAGTGAGAAAATTAAAAATTCGCCTTTCGAGAGGTACGTCGTTTTCAAAAGAAGACGCGTCAAAGGGGAGAGCCGATGATCTGCTCTCTCGTGAACGCGAGAGAGAGAATCGCGCGAAGATCGATACACAATAACGCGGCAAAGCACAAAAAAAACTTAACAGATCGGAGCGATTTAAAAACAAAATTTTTAACGTCGTCCATTATCGATAAAAGAAGGAACAATCACAATTGTCTTTTTTTTCGGCAAGAAAATAGATTTTGTGTGTGTGTGTGTGTGCGTGTGCGTGTAACTCGACGCAAATTTACGTAAATTTTTTTCAATTTTTTTTTCACACACGTCGTTACGCTTTTCTCAAGAACACGAGGAGGAGGGGGGGAGGGAACAATGGGAGTTCAAGCGGCACCTGGGAACGAAGGGCTCCAGCACACAGGACACCGCCAGCAGTGCCGACAATCGTCGCAATGAAGCGCGCACCGGGTTGTAAAGATCTCACAAAAAATCTGTAAAACACAGCCCC